CCCTATGTCCCCTTAACAGAAGTCACAGAACAAACCCCTCCCCCACCCATCCCCTATGTCCCCTAAATAGAAGTCACAGAACAAACCCCTCCCCCATCCCCAACGAAGAGAGAATAATATCACAATTTGTCAATGATTGTTATCTAAATGTTGGCAGATTGACAAGGCCATTACGATTGTGAGGAGTGCGATAGCCAACCAGATAGACTGGACAGAGATCAACAACCTGGTAAAGGAGGCCCAGACACAAGGGGATCCGGTCGCTAAGGCCATCAAAGGCCTCAAACTCGATTCCAACCACATTACAATGTTGCTCAGGTACGATTCAACGGACACCAACATGTTAATAATGTCAGAAAATAAAAGGCTTTCACGATTCCTTAGTTCACATATACTCAACTTTCCTCTGCAGTAGATTTTCTGTGTTGGTTAGATATGAGTAATAATGATAGCTTACAATTTGTTACATACTTAGTGTTTTCAGCTATATAATATTTTACTCTCAAACTAAGCCTTAACATTTTGTTTTAAGTATAAAGATAGAAACATAATTTTAACATACCAGCTGTAACAGACATAGACAATGTGATGGGACACAGAAGTCTAGCTGATATTGATTCATCTCCGTAATCCTTGTAATACCCTACTTATAGAGACCCATATGCAGACAGCGATGAGGAAGACGATGAGTGTCTCTCACCACAGAAGGTTGATGTTGACCTTTCTGTCAGTGCTTATGCCAACTCTCGCAGGTAAGTTCACACCAGAGTGTTGGTATTTAAATTGTGTACACACTAGAGTATTGGTATTTAAATTGTGTACACACTAGAGTATTGGTATTTAAATTGTGTACACACTAAAGTGTTGGTATTTAAATTGTGTACACTACAGAGTGTTGGTAGTTAAATTGTGTACACACTAAAGTATTGGTATTTAAATTGTGTACACACTAAAGTGTTGGTATTTAAATTGTGTACACCACAGAGTGTTGGTATTTAAATTGTGTACACACTAGAGTATTGGTATTTAAATTGTGTACACACTAGAGTGTTGGTATTTAAATTGTGTACACACTAAAGTGTTGGTATTTAAATTGTGTACACTACAGAGTGTTGGTATTTAAATTGTGTACACACTAAAGTATTGGTATTTAAATTGTGTACACACTAGAGTGTTGGTACTTAAATTGTGTACACACTAGAGTGTTGGTACTTAAATTGTGTACACCACAGAGTGTTGGTATTTAAATTGTGTACACCACAGAGTGTAGTATCGTATACAAATCCATGACGTGTTCCCACATTATAGAGTTGGAATCAGTTGGAATCACTTACACAACAAGAGTGTTGGTATTGAACAGGTCTCCATGAACATTTGTGAATTTTATGGTCATTCCTGATCAAATGTTTCATTATGATATGATTTTGATGTTAAGGAAGTGTTGTTCATGGTCTTTCCACGGAAACTTTGATGGTTGTATTTAGCATTGCTCTAAATGTATTAAATCATTAAAATACATACAATGAGGCGATATGACGAGCTTTGGTGTCAGTATGGAGAATAAGTGATTCTTTATATATTTAGAAATATTTTAAATGTGATCAATAAAAAGATGGTGATACGTTTTTTATTATTAACTTCAAGGTTCTTTGACAAGAAGAAACAGGCTGCTAAGAAAGAACAGAAGACCATTGATGCTTCTGCCAAGGTGAGCTTCACATATAGAGATTAAACATCAGGCTGTTTACAGCCGCTGAAATTATGTATATTGATAACACTTTAAAACTTTTGAAAATTTCATGTATGGACAACACTTTCAGGAATATAAATGTGATTTAGTATAAATAATTGTGGTATTTTAAAATCACATAAATTGGTAATGCTTGTGATATTAAATGCTGCACAATGTCTCGCCCATTAATTGAGAGTATATGTTTGTTTTTGTGTGGTTTAAATGCATTGAATTATATCACAGATGTAGGATTATTGTGAATTGCTGCTGTGTATTTGTGTCAGTTTTTACAATATTTGTTAACCTTGTACAAAACTTCCTGTAAATTACACCCTAGCTTTGTTATACTTTCTATCAGGCTCTCAAATCTGCCGAGAAGAAGACCAAAGAGACGCTGAAGGAGGTAGCGACAGCAGCCTCCATCAACAAGACGAGGAAAACCTACTGGTATGGAAGCTCTCTCTACGGCATATTAAAATAAATGGAATTTGTCATACATTAAAATATGCCAGATAACGACATAGTGTCAAAAATCTTTAAATGAATTTATTATGGTATACAGAGCCTCCGTTTGTCTGTCATACCACACTTTGTTTCCTGCCGGAGAACTTTCTTCAATATCATTTAATTTTGATGAAACTTGGTAAGCATGTACAACGTTTTGTATCTTTGATTTGTAAACTGCATCAGATTGGTTAATAGTTTCTGCACAATTCTGATGAATCTTGGTCAATATTCATATAATACTGAGACAGAAATGTTGAATTGGAATACTGTGCGTGGCATTAGACAGGCGTATATTGTTTCACCCTATAAAAGGTGAAATATTAAATATATAAAAGTTCAGATATTTCACGAATTTATAGTTTGCATGCCTTATTTCAGTTGTTCTCATATGTCCACCAATGTTTTACTTGCCAATCCTGTTGAGGTCACTTACCTACTTACCGGGTAATTGAATAGGGTATATATCTACCTACCACATCAAACTTTACACAAACGTTATATCTGGGGAATGTGATACCTGCAGGTTATATCTAGAGAAAAATTAGATTCACAAGTTTAAGAAATATGTAAGTTTGATATTGTATATATATTATTGCTAGTTACTATAAACAGACTTTCAGATTCATTTATGATTTGACATGGGAAACATGTCTTAATTGAGTGTTAAACTGAAATGAATTAATTGTACTGAATGTACTGAGAGTTTTTACATTGTAAATAACGCTGCCATTCCTATTCAGGTTTGAGAAGTTCCTGTGGTTCATCACCTCTGAAAACTTCCTGGTGATAGGTGGTCGAGATCAACAACAGAACGAGATGATCGTGAAGCGCTACCTCAAACCAGGTAAACAGATAAGGCTTTATAGGTTACAAATGATGCTACGAGAATAATGTTGATATCGAAAGTTAATCAGACTCAATGTTCAACTTTGGTTAATGATCAGGAAATTATATGTAAATAGAAAAGATTCTGTACATGTAAGATTCTGCAATTAACAACGTTATTTCTGTATCTAGTCTATAATTGAAAATGTGCACCATGGTTGAGAGAGCCTATGCTATACTAAGTCAGTATTTACTGTGAAAAGAAAGGGATTGAATGAAGGCCAATGGTGAATGTTGTATGTTCCAGGGGACCTGTACGTCCATGCTGACCTCCACGGAGCCAGTAGCTGTGTCATCAAAAACTCAACTGGTCAGTATAAACATTGCTGTTGTTTAATTATACCTTCTGCTCAGTAGTATGGGTATATGGTATTCACTTTATAAGTGCCACTGTTTATTCAGATTCGTATCATTTCTGTTGAGGATTGTGCATTTTTACATCAATTTTTTTTTTGCATGAATAGCGTTCTTGTTCAGTTTTCAACAGTGTTAACTAGTGAGATGGCTCATTTCATTCACTGTCTCATAGGTTCCACAAGTTTTTAGACACATATTTAGAAAAAAATCCAATGAAACAGAGCAATGCACACATTCTTTGTGCATATATGTCTGTGCGACAAATGATTAGCATTCAAACAGCTTTGATCTTTGAAATTTGATATGGACTACAAATATAATTCTTTCACTTAAATAAATGAAAATCTGTTACAATTGTTTTACAGGTAATCCTGTACCTCCGAAGTCTCTCAATGAAGCAGGAAGTATGGCCATTTGTAACAGTGCAGCTTGGGATGCGAAAGTTGTGACCAGTGCATGGTGGGTTTATCATGATCAGGTGTCCAAGACTGCGCCTTCTGGGGAGTACCTGACGACAGGAAGTTTTATGGTCAGAGGTAGGTTGATGTGTTATATTTAGATTTTTGTTGTAGTATAGAATGCTAGACTTAAAACATTATAAACATTTATGTAGATTAAGTTGTACGAATGTTAGTAAGTACAAAAATAATTCAGATCCTGTCATAAACTCGAAAGATAGTTGCTGATTTATAAGTCAATTGTACAAATTTGTTTTGAATGAAAAGAGAAAAAATAATATCTTTACGGTTGTGTTATTTAATTTTTCTTCCCATTTCAGGAAAGAAAAACTATCTTCCACCATCATTTCTTGTGTATGGATTTGGGTTTGTTTTCAAGGTAAGAAAATAACAAAATCTGAAACATGTTTGGTCTAATCAATTGCACTTGGATACATAGGTTATTATTTGATAATAAGCTCCTAACAGGGTATTGGTTGAAGGGATTATATGTTTGCACTCTGTCCTTCAGTTGTTCTGTCATTATGTTACATTGGTCAGGGGGTATCTCATATCTAACCAGGTCTTGTGACCAATTATACAGAGTTATGACCCTTTGTTGCTCATTTCAGCTTGAAGATGATTCCATCATTCGTCATAAAGGGGAGCGCAAAATCCGAACAACTGAGGAAGATGAGATGTCCATCATAACAGAGAGTGATATGGCCACAGATACTGCCAGCATGGCGGATGTCAGTGATGATGACAGCAGTGACCAGGACGACACCTCACAGACAGGTGAAGAGGGGCAGCAACAGGGGCTTGACACACTCGAGGAACAGGAGGAGGAAACTCAGGAACAAGGCATGCAAATAGTGGAGGTTAAAGTTGAAGGGGTCAAAGAGAAGGTGAAAGAGGAGGTAGAAGAAGAGAAAGAAGAGGAGTCCTCAATGTTCCCAGACACAGAAATAAGTTTGCAACACATCAAGGGAGATAAGTGAGTTCAATAAGACCCAGATATTTTTATTTCCTGTATATAATAGATATCTGGATGTCATTAATACATTGTTTTATAAGATGGTTTCCAGGCCATGAAAATTTAATAAAAATGTCAGTTGTCCAGAAAAGATAATTTTGATGTCGCTGCATTTCAGGTATGAACTACAGAGAGGAAGAAGTAACACCAGTGACAGTGTTGAGACTGTGGAGATATGTGTGGAGAAGGAGAAGAAGGTATATAATACACACCATCCTCTGGTGTAGCATGTTCAGTGTGTTTGTTCTCAAGTTTATAGAAGAGGACCATCTCTAGTATTACATTACATAGTGATAGACTAAATGTTAGTAGATTACATTGTGTCATCAGTACTTCGTGTTAAAACATACTTGGACAGGTTGTGTAGTGTAGGCAGTACTTGTAGTTCCTTTACATAGAATATTGACTAATGATACACTGTTTTTTTTGCAGCCTGTGGTACCAACAGTTGTACGACTGTCAGCTAAGCAAAGAAGGTCAGTTTTCTTCCTAATTGTAAATTTTGTCAAACGCAGTATCTCGCCAATGACTAGATTGATGTTAAGTTATTCTTGATTTTATTTCTTGATTTTATTTTCTAAAATAAGTGTTTGGTTTAGTATTGTTTAACGTCCTATCAACAGCTATGGTCATTTAAGGACGGCCTCCCCTGTGTGCAAGATGCATGCGTGTAGTGTATGTGTGTGTGTTTTGGGAGGCTGCAATATGCTTGTGTTTGTCTCCTTGTGATAGCGCAGAGCTGATGCCAACTTTATAGCGCTACCTCACTGAAACATTCTGCTGAAAACACCCAGCAGGACACCCCACCCGGTCACATTATACTGCCAACAGGCGAACCAGACGTCCCACTCCTAAATTGCTGAGCGTTAAGCAGGAGTAGAAACTACCATTTTTACAGACTCTGGTATGTCTCAGCCAGGGGACAGAACCCAAAGCCTTCCTCACAGGGGCGAACACTCAACTAAAGGCCAAAAGTGAGGCATTGTCAAGGGAGACATTAGGAAGAAGAAAGTTCTTTAAAAAGAAGAGAAAAGATAAGATCCCAAATTTACTCGCCTCTTATGATCATGCAAGTGGGGCAGCAGGTACAATTCTTACGCCCTACCTGCAGGAAGCTAAAATAAGTGAAACCTCCCTCTTTGATTTGATATTGGATTTATACAGTATTTGATAATTCAATGTTTCTTGCTTAAACAAGTTCTAAAGCAGTATTTTAACCTCCAGGGACCTGAAAAAAGCCAAGAAAGCTGCACAACAGCCCCAGGAAGATGAGGAGGACAGTGTATCGTGGCTCAGTCAAGGTCAACAAGGTCAAAAGGGAGGTCAAGGACATCAACAGCAGCTGGATCAGCAAAAACAGCAGCTGGATCAGCAGAAACAGCAGCAGAAAGCCATTGAAGAAAGACTGTCTGTCAATAAGGAAGAACATAACGTAATGTTTAAAACAGTTACTTATCACTATAATTATTATATAAAAGCTGCACAATACACTATTACATTGTCTACTTTGATATTACACATCTGTGGGTTTTCATGCTTAGACACATTTTTTTCTTCTGATTTTCGATTTTGATATATCAGTGCTTTACTTTATATGTGATATACTAGTGCTATACTTTGTATGTGATATACCATTTCTTTCCTTCTGTTCAAATATAGGATTCAGATGATTCAAAACTACACCAACCCGAAAACAAACAGATTCAGGAGCAGCAAACACAAGCAAAACGAGGCCAGAAGGTCAGTGTGATCTATTAAAACAATCGTAAATTTAAACTAGTTGCTTGTTGGAACATATTACATCAATAGATTGCATTGTTACTTATGATATATGGAATATTGTTATGGAGCATTGTATGAGGTAACCATTATACTGCCAATCTCTTACACTGACACATGCTTAACAGGGTCATTGGTCACAGAAGAGGACGTTGTTATTTTTCGGGTCAATCAAAAATCCAATATGGCCGCCATGGCCGCCATTTTGAAAAACTAGTTCAAACTTAAAGTCAAGTTCTGCTAGACCGATTGAACTGAAACTTTGAAGGAATGATCAACTCATAGTCCTGATAAAGTATTTTTATTTTTCGGGTTGATCAGAAATCAAATATGGCCGCCACGGCCGCCATTTTGAAAAACTATTTCAACCTTAAAGTCAAATTCTGCTAGGCCGATTGATCTTAAGCTTTGTAGGAATGATCAACTCATGGTCCTGACAAAGTGTTGTTATTTTGCGGGTTGATCAGAAATACAATTTGGCTGCCATGGCCGCTATTTTGAAAATACCTATTTCAAACTTAAAAACAAGTTCTAATAGGACGATCTAACTGAAAATCGGTCTAGGAAAGATCAACTCATGGTCCTGACAAACTTAAGTTAACGTTGTACTTAATAATTTTTTACTCAAATTGGTACATATTTCAACAACAAAAATAAATACTGAAGGACTCAGGTGACCGTTAAGGCCCATGGGCCTCTTGTTATGCAATGTGAATGTATCTAAAGATAGTTGGCTTCATTTGTGTTTTGTTGTTTTAGGGTAAGTTGAAGAAGATGAAAGAAAGGTATGCAGATCAAGATGAAGAGGAGAGGCAGCAAAAGATGGATATTTTAGCGGTAAGAGATTAATATTATGATCCCGGTCTTGGGCATTAAAAATAAAACATAAGATCCAACAAAAAATGGAATCTTACACCAGAAAGTAGAATAAGTACAGTACTTTAAACTAAATATCACGTCGCAAAATGTCAATATTTGGTTAATATCATGTTTTATAATTTTCCATCTGTAAATGTAATTTCAGGAGACATCAATGAAAGTTATAAATTTTAATTATGACAATAGTTAAACGTGATTATTGATGTCAATAGTCTGCTGGTTCTAAAAAAGAAGATAAAAAAAAGAAAGGGAAGAAGGGAAAAGGAGGCGAGTCTGATCAATCACGACCTCAGAGTGCCAAACAGCAGTTACAGCAACAGAAGAAAAAAGGCCTCCCTCGTGGAGTAGATGTCATTCTACAGCCCACCGCAAATCTCATCGTAGAAGGTAAACTATCAAAGCTACTACAACGAGTAAGCTACACTTAGTAACGATGTTTACATCTTAAAATACATTATCCAGTCAGAAATTTTCTAGGATATCCGAAGAATATTTCAATAGTAAATTAATGATAAAATTATTATTTTACAATCAAAAAGTCAGATTATAATTAATATTGTCATTAATCAAAATATTATTTACTGTTTTGATTTCCAGATGCTACTGGAATAACAGAAGACAAAAAAGCTGATCAAGAGATTGAGGGAGTTCCAGGAAACAGTCGGGTAACTGAAATGGTTTCAAAAAAACAATGACCAATTCAACAGTTTGCCCAATATTACAGTCCAAATGAAGTGTAGGAAGGTGTATAGTAGTGACTTTGGTGTGTTTGTCTGAATGTTCCTATAGGATCTCGTCCAGGCCTGCACAAGTATAACGATAACATGTTGTACACAAAACAATGGTTTATATCACAAAAAGTCAATATGGGGTCAAAGGTCACAATACGACAATGTTTGTACAGGGCATAACTTTAGAACTGCTGAACATTAAGTGAGGAAAAGTTATAGATATGTGTTTTTAACACTAAAGGACAAGTTGGTGTGTCATGTTTCATACACAGATCAATACATTTCAATGTCAAGGTCACTACATAGATAATGATATATGTACATAGATAATGATATATATACATAGATAATGATATATGTACATATGACTCATCTTAAGAACTACTAAACAATAACATTAAACTCCATTGATCTATGATGTGTTCATACCCACAAGGTCAAGGTCACAGCAAGATGTCAAGTCACTGCAATGCTTGCCTGGAACTTAGGATTCAAAAAGTTTAGAATAGCTGAACATTATTTCCCGAAACTTAATAAACAAGTGTAATATGTTGTGTATCACACACAGGGTTGAACCAACAGGGTCAAATAAAGAGATCAGATGTCAAAGTAAAATAACTGCAATCCTTTTCTTAAGTTTTTGATAAAAAATGTCATGTAGTTATGTTAAACTTGTTCATTTACAGGAGGATAAGATTGATGACAAGGGAGAGGATGAGACAACACACGTAGCAGATGTAAGTTAACACAGGAATGGGGATTGACCTACCGCAATTAAATGTGTTAATTTCTGGCAATCTTAACTTCCTCCTTCAAACTCGTTGCTGCATTCATTCCTTCTATTAAAGCAATGCAATAAGTTTTCGATGGCAAACGTTTACAAGTAGTGTTATTACTAGTGTTTTCATTCCCTTTAACTGCTAAGTCCAAGGAAAGAGGTTGCAGGGGACCCAAAAGTTAACAAAGATATGTCCGATATCTATATTGTATGTGATATCAAGATAATTGACTGATTTACCTACCATCACTTACAAACTTCAGTAAGTGGAACATCATATTTATGTATGACTTACGTTTACAGGATCTTCAGATGTTGGACTCCCTTACTGGAATACCAGTCACAGAGGATGAGCTTCTTTACGCTATTCCTGTGTGTGCACCTTACAATTGTTTGGTCAACTACAAGTAAGTCTCATCTTTAGTACTAAACAGGTTTAATGTGCTCCTGATCAGGTGTGAATAGGGAACAGTCGTACAGTGAATGATGCTAGCAGCTAGTGTTACTGATGTCATTCTTCTGTTTGGTAAATATAAATAAAGAACAGGTTTCTCTATTCTGATAAACTTTATGTTTGTACTTAAAAAAAATGAAATAAGATTTGATTAACCAGATTACCTCAAAAATTAGAATGGAAAGGTTTTGACCTGTTTTTACACATCAATGTCTTTAGCCATATAACTAAGTTTCATATTGTTTGCAGATACAAAGTAAAACTTACACCAGGTTCAACGAAGAGAGGAAAAGGTAAGTTATTAACAGTTTCCATCAAAACTTGTCAGAAATGAGTACATATGGGGTATCACCACGTTTATTGGTGTGGGGTCAGGGTAGCAGGGCTTCTCTTATAATTGGTAAATTGGTAAAGTGAAGGGGGTCACAAAAAAGTGCCTCCCACCTAACATTTGTTTCTGGAATAGCTCTCACCTGGAAAGCAAGGAAACTATGAAAGTTCTTTCCGTGATTGTTACAATTAATGTGTACTTTCAAATTCATGATATATTACTGAAAATTGAGTTTCAATTGAAGTGATGTATTAGATTAAACAATTGATGTATTGTACCTAGTAAACATGTACATCGTTATTGAAGTGACGTATTTGATTACATTATCATGTATTGTATCTAGTAAACATGCATGTTATTATTGAAGTGACGTATTTGATTACATAATCATGTATTGTATCTAGTAAACATGTACATCGTTATTGAGGTGACGTATTTGATTACATTATCATGTATTGTACCTAGTAAACATGTACATCATTATTGAAGTGACGTATTTGATTACATTATCATGTATTGTACCTAGTAAACATGTACATCATTATTGAAGTGACGTATTTGATTACATAATCATGTATTGTACCTAGTAAACATGTACATCATTATTGAAGTGACGTATTTGATTACATTATCATGTATTGTATCTAGTAAACATGTACATCGTTATTGAGGTGACGTATTTGATTACATTATCATGTATTGTACCTAGTAAACATGTACATCATTATTGAAGTGACGTATTTGATTACATAATCATGTATTGTACCTAGTAAACATGTACATCATTATTGAAGTGACGTATTTGATTACATTATCATGTATTGTACCTAGTAAACATGTACATCATTATTGAAGTGACGTATTTGATTACATAATCATGTATTGTATCTAGTAAACATGTACATCGTTATTGAAGTGACGTATTTGATTACATTATCATGTATTGTATCTAGTAAACATGTATGTCATTATTGAAGTGACGTATTTGATTACATTATCATGTATTGTATCTAGTAAACATGTATGTCATTATTGAAGTGACGTATTTGATTACATTATCATGTATTGTACCTAGTAAACATGTACATCATTATTTCTTTTCAGCTTCAAAGACGGCATTGAATATGTTTCTACATGACAAGGCAGCAACGAGTCGGGAAAAGGATCTAATGAGAATATTAAAAGTGAGTAATGAAAAGCCTAGTACTGGTAAAAAATCATCTGTTAGGATTAAAAAGAGGGGTCAATGTAGACAAATGTTTTTAGTTTGTTACTTACCAAGGTAGTTAAAACAAAAACTGGTTTGTTTGCAACCCTATGTTACCAAAGTGTTTAAGTGTTTTAAGTTGTTAAAAAGTGATATGATGAAAAGTTATTTGCATTTACTAGTGAATGTGTAATTTTGGTGAAAGAGATTATTTTTTAAAACATACAAGTGAATTTGATTAATTAATAGGAAGCAAATTCGTGTTAAGCCAGAGTTTGTGCATGGTGTTATTTTCCCGTGTGGTTTGAGATGCTTCACCCTCTATACATGTTTGACATTGTGACTTGTGCTTTACAGGATATTGATCAAAGTCGTAACATTCCAGGAAAAGTTAAGGTGTCTGCACCCAATCTTCACAGGAACAAGAAGAAGAAGTGACCAGAAAACAGACAAAAGGTTTATTTGTAAATTAAGTTAGTGAATTGGATACGCATCTGGACTGATGATGTCAGGAATGATCTGTGTGTGATCCCTCGTCTCCGTAAAACCACGGGTTGTGTTATACATAATTATCTAGAAGATGTCTTAAAGTTTTGTTTTAAATGCACTTAACATTTTCTTCTAGAAGTTTTTTTAATGTTAATTTAGTAAATATTTATTGTGGTTAAATTACATTTGACAATAAATGTAAGTTATAATATGATGGATTGTGATATCACAAGAGTAACTTACAACATCTTTGAGACTTTAGGACTGTAGCAACTGAACACAATGATAGCTCACAAGGGATAGATAGTGACAACATGGACTGAGTTTGGCCACTAAGTTACTTCATCATCAGCTGAGTTTGATGTGATATGAGCTGGCTGTTACAACAAACACTGAGGGATTGTGTACTAGAGATGACTACAGAGTTGTGTATTGTGAACAGAGTTTGATGGATTATGAACTCTTTGATGGACTCTGGACAGACTGATGGACTCTGGACAGACTGATGGCTTGTTAGCTGGTGATGTAACAACAGGGTCTGATCGACTGTAAACTAGTTATATGATTATAACAGAGCATCAGGGATTTATTGAAAATGTCAATATAATTTTAAAATTTAAAGGCTACTTTTTTAACTGTACGTGCTAGTCAATAAAATTTATATTTCAACTGACGATGGTTACTATTTAAAACATCTGACATCATGAAATGATAAATGTTCAATTTTAATTACTGCTGCATATGTAGGATATGTATGCATCCGCATATTGAGGCCAGACCTTTTGGATGCTAAATTGATCATGTTTTGCCTTTCCCGTGGGAAATTGAACTGATTTGTGTCAATAAACACCGAAGATATTCAGATGTGATTGTAATGTCTGGAAGGATATACAAAGACTGTGATAAACGGGCTTGTTACATTGTAAGATATTAAAGAAACAGCTTTTGTCATTCATAAGTTGTTGTTTTTTATTATTATTTATGACATTGCTGCGGTGAATATGTTACAATATATATTATTCCCTATCCTATTCAGAAGGACTAAGATGAGCTATAGGTATACCTGGTACGTTACACAATGTATATTATCCCCTATCCTATTCAGAAGGACTAAGATGAGCTATAGGTATTACCTGGTACGATACACAATGTATATTATCCCCTGTCCTATTCAGAAGGACTAAGATGAGCTATAGGTATACCTGGTACGATACACAATGTATATTACCCCTGTCCTTTTCAGAAGGACTAAGATGAGCTATAGGTATACCTGGTACGATACACAATGTATATTATCCCTTATCCTATTCAGAAGGACTAAGATGAGCTTTAGGTATACCTGGTACGATACACAATGTATATTACCCCTGTCCTTTTCAGAAGGACTAAGATGAGCTATAGGTATTATCTTGTACGATACACAATGTATATTACCCCCTATCCTATTCAGAAGGACTAAAATGAGCTATAGGTATAACCTGGTACGATACACAATGTATATTATCCCTTATCCTATTCAGAAGGACTAAGATGAGCTTTAGGTATACCTGGTACGATACACAATGTATATTTCCCCTGTCCTTTTCAGAAGGACTAAGATGAGCTATAGGTATAACTGGTACGATACACAATGTATATTACCCCTGTCCTTTTCAGAAGGACTAAGATGATCTATAGGTATACCTGGTACGATACACAATGTATATTACCCCTATCCTATTCAGAAGGACTAAGATGAGCTATAGGTATACCTGGTACGATACTTCAGGTCGCTGGGGGGGCCAGATCCACGGTTTATACAAAATTGGTTCCACTTCACCCAAGGATGCTTCAGACCAAATATGGAACAAATCCTTCCAATCCTACAGAAGAAGGATTTTAAAGAATAATTTCCTATGTTTACCCTAATTGGCTCCACCCCTCAGGCGGGCCAGACCCACAGTTTATACAAAAGTGGTTCCCCTTCACCCAAGGATGCTTCAGACCAAATATGGAACTAATCCTTTCATTCTTACAGAAGAAGAAGGATTTTAAAGAATTTGCTATATTTTCACTATTTGGCCCCGCCCCGCCCCTCAACCCCCAGGGGGGCCAGACCCACCGTTTATACAAAATTATTTCCCCTTCACCCAAGAATGCTTCAGACGAAATATGGACCAAATCCTTTCATTCCTACAGAATAAGAAGGATTTTTAAGAATTTGCTATGTTTCCCCTATTGGGCCCCGTCCCTTCAGGCCCCTAGGGGGCCAGACCCACAGTTTATACAAAATTGGTTCCCCTTCATCCAAGGTTGCTTCAGACCAAATATGGAACAAATCCTTTCATTCCTTCAAAAGAAGAAGGATTTTAAAGAATTTGATATATTTCCCCTATTGGGCCCTGCCGCTCAGCCCCCAGGGGGGCCAGACCCACCATTTACACAAAAACAAATCCTCTTCCCCCATGGATGCTTCTGACCAAATATGGAACAAATCCTTTCATTCCTACAGAAGAAGAAGGATTTCAAAGAATTTGCTATATTTCCCCTATATGGGCCCGCTCCTGAGCCCCCAGGGGGGCCAGACCCACCATTTATACCAAATTTAGTCCCTTTGGCCCAAGGAAGCTCCAGACTAAATTAGGATAAAATCCCTTAATCCTTACGGTAGAAGAACGATTTTAAAGGTTTTACCTTTATTTCCCCTATTTGGCCCTGCCCCTCTGCTCCCAGGGGGCGACACCCACCGCTTGTACAAAATTGAGTCCCCTTGGCCTAAGGATGATCAGACCAAATTTAGTCAAAATCTGCTTGGCTGTTCGGACCAGGTGAGCTAAAAAGGATGAATTTTGAAATTTAAGACACCATGAAAGGATCTTTATCAAATCTACAAAAGATGATCTTTTACCTTCTTGGCTCTTCAATTTCCTTACAAATCCTCAACGGGAATCTTGTACATAAACGTCAGCCTCATAATGATATGTTATTGGCCACTATGGTAATTGTTATTGTATAGGAATTGCATAACAACTGTAATTTTTTTAATTCTTACATAGTGCATGTGGTGCTGTCAATGTTTTGTGTAATAATTACACATTACTCCAAGCAACCAGTAGTTTTTTTCGGTACAACAATCTACATAAAACTCTAACTATTTTTTTAAAGAAAAAGCAATACAGAGACTGATTTTCAACAAATTGTATTTAATATTTACTAGAAAAAATGTAAAGTGCACTTCAGGTTGTAAATTGTAATGAAATAAGTCAATAAACTAGTATAAAGTCAATGGCAAGTATTAAAGAGAAAGGGTGTGTCCAATGATGGTGGACAGGTTATAGTAATTTCAGGTCAGAAATGTTACACTTGTTTGACAAGAGAGTACATGGTACATTCTTGAGGCAAGACAAAGGGAAGTAACTGGAATTGGCTTGAAGTACTCGCAACAGCTCAGGACTGCCATGGAAGACAAACACAATACAATGCTATGTATGTATGTGTAAAAGATATCCAATAGACAAACAGGTATGGTTCCAGGTAAATGTTTGTGTATAGGATGTGATGTTCCATAGAAGTGAGGTACAGTATATAAATAAAATGTTAACAAATTTGATGGCAAGCTTAATGGTATCTAAAATCACAGATGAGATCTAAATTTTCATAGTCTTAAATAGCAAAACTGTTGATGACAACGAGGCCCATGGGCCTTAACGGGTCACAGGTTAGGTGACATAAAACAAATTAATTGAGCATGATTGAAATCTACTGACAAGTGAGATGTAAAAGTGTTAAAAGTTGCCAGGTTAATCCCTGGGAAATATAAAACAGATGTCGAGGAAACAAATCATATCTTTGAACAACAATGCAATGTTGCTATATATGTATTGTGTACAGCACTCGAATGTTGTGTTAAAAAATTAAATGAAAGCTGTCAAAGACATCTCTTCAACCACTCATTATACTTACATGTATCATTTCACATACAAACACACTTAAGGAAGTTTACTTTTCCAACTACTATCATGAGATTAACAACATAAGGTAATTTGAAGATGTGTTTTAGACAAATGCTATCATAAGATTAATAAAATGAAGATAACTAAAAGCCAGTCAACCCAAGTTAATATACAGTTAAAGTATGGGGTTGAGGGATATAGCAAGTTTCTGGTGTCCCGAGACAAGATCTTTTTCCCCCCGAGGCGAAGCCGAGGGAAATAGGCATGGTCAAGGGACACCAGCAACTTGCTATATCTCTCGACCCCATACTTTAACTGTTTTATTATACCGATACACACTGGAGAGATAGTTTTAACTAGAAAATATTTGTAAACCATAAGCTGTATAACTTCACATCCCAACTACCCTTTTGATGGCAATGGAGCCAAATGCTTCAGAGTTGTTAACATCCCAAGAGGAGAAGATAGTTATAATTCAAATATGTTTATTGTTGTTGCGATATAAACCACAAATATTCATGTGTATACAACAAAAGAGTACATGAAATGCAGCATTCAGTATCACAGAATGATGTTTGGATGTGCCCAACGTTAACAGATTCAATAGAAACAGTAACCATTAGAAAACACACAAAAAGTTGATACAAGTCTTCCCCACTATACCAATTATGTCAATACTTTCCGGACACACTCATCACATATACCTCACTAAAACTCTTCACTCACTTTCTAACAGTACACAATAATCACATATTATGAAATTTCTTGAAGTTGAGAGACCCAACTCAGACCAAATGCTTACATATATCAATAGTCCTGTAGATTAATTTCTTCATCTGTTTGACAATGAGCCGTCTGAATCAATAGAACAGTACATGTCCTTGTATTAACACTATGTGAAGGAGATTCTGTAGGCCTTGATTTCCATGGGAGGCACACTAAGTCTTCTATCCTTGACCTTCTGTATGACCTTCACCCCAGTTAGAATTGTCTCTTCCACTGACTCGATGAAAATTGATTTGGAATTTATTGTCAGATCAATTGAACCAGTTGACTGTAGAGGAAAAAAAATCCATGCAAATCGTTATCATATAAAATTCATTTCTATCAAATAACATTGAAATTGTTCATTTCACTGACACACAGCTTTGTTGTGAAGCACATCATTAGTCTCAGTAGGATGCCAAATATACAGCTACTTATCCAGACTTCCTTAATGAAGTAACATTTTCCTCTTTTTACTAATATTTTCAAAATTTAAACAGAAGAAAAGTTAATGGTTTTGTGTCAAGTAACATATATATCACACATATGACAGACTATATACTGATATTTTTCAGGAGTTTATGCTGCCATATTCGTGAATTATGTATGGTACTCCATTGGAAACTATAATAATAGATAATGAAATAATAATAATAATTTGAGGTTCTTATATACCGCTTTATCACAACCTAGTTCGTAGGGTGCCTCAAAGCGGGTCACAAATTATTATCCGTGGTTATAGGGCCTTTGCAACCAGCCAATATCTTTCTCAACTCCCTGGGGAGCATAACAGCCGGTGCTGCCATTTCGGCACTCACAGCTAGCATTCAACAATTCTAGCACTGCCCAACCACATACTCATTCACAGCTGAGTAGACTGGAACAAGTGGAGTAAAGTATCTAGCTCAAATATACAACAAAGTGCTGTGACGTGATTCGAACCCGCAACCCTTTGGTCACGAGCTTGGCGGCCTTAGTTGCACTAGACTACCGTGCCTCCTATCTACTATCTATACCCTCTACATATAATTTCATATGCCCTATCAAGTTTTTGAAGCGACCCTTTGATTTACAGACCTGAGATTGGCAGTGCCAGTCCAAACAAAGGAAGCCACAGTCTGCAAGTCTTCGGTGAATCAGCAGAAGGACCTGCGACCGGTTACCTCCGTCCATGTACAGAAAACTCAATGACACCAAGTGGGTGTGGAAGGGAAGCTGTGGAAACGGCAGGTCCAGCCCGTCCCTCACCAGCTGTGATTGGTCAGAATTTTGTTCGGTGATCAGTATGTCCAGCGGCTGTTCCAAACTATCGGACATTACCATAGCCATAGGAGAAGGGTAGCACATAAGGGAATCCTCCTGTAACAGGGTTTGTATAGAAATCAGTCATCATGTAGCTCAAACAAGGTATCACAACCAATACAGTTAGATCTTACACTTGTATGAATTTCCATGGCTATAAAGTCAATAAGCCAATATGCCTGGTTAAAGGTTGTTTTATATATATATCAAGAGTACAGCCACAGTAGTCATAGGGGGGTGGGGATAGGGTAAAAGGTTGTTTTATATATATATCAAGAGTACAGCCACAGTAGTCATAGGGGGTTGGGGATAGGGTAAAAGGTTGTTTTATATATATATCAAGAGTACAGCCACAGTAGTCATAGGGGGTTGGGGGTAGGGTTAAAGGTTGTTTTATATATATATCAAGAGTACAGCCACAGTAGTCATAGGGGGTTGGGGGTAGGGTTAAAGGTTGTTTTATATATATATCAAGAGTACAGCCACAGTAGTCATAGGGGGTTGGGGGTAGGGTTAAAGGTTGTTTTATATATATATCAAGAGTACAGCCACAGTAGTCATAGGGGGTTGGGGGTAGGGTTAAAGGTTGTTTTATATATATATCAAGAGTACAGCCACAGTAGTCATAGGGGGTTGGGGGTAGGGTTAAAGGCTGCGTGTATACCTTGATGGGTGATTGATGGCGTCTCTCAAACAGCAGTACAAACTGACTGTGTGTGGGTATGTTGTCAGTGACACCCTCATTGAGCCCCCTCCAGTCCCCCTGTAGGAGTCGCCGGTCCAGGACCACCTCTAGTTCACCTGCTCAATACATCATTATCGAATGGTTAACATCTCTATGTATAACAAAGTTTATAATGGACACGAAACTATCTTTATTAATTTCTTATTAATCAGTTAAATATCCTAATTAAGCTACATTGCTAAAAAGCACTATTGGAAATACTGTCATTGTCATGCGTCTCCATGTACCTAATTCAAAGATTTTGTTTGACAAGAATGAGTGAAATAATTAAACCTAATATCATATTATCCTGGTAATATCAATCAAGTGAAAACAGTTAAATCAATAAGACATTGCTTTAACAGAAAATTGTCCTGACTTCACTAGACAGACCTGGATTAAGACTAGCCACTCCATGAGCTGCTGAGGTCATGAGGGTCAATCTCTCCTCACTGGTCTCTATGACAGCCATTGATGTCACTGGGTAAAAGTTTCCTTGGATTGTCAGTTTTTTTCTTGTTCTCTTTTTGTACATCTAAATGTCAACCATAACATAGGCTGTTAAAGCAGAGTCTTCAGGAGCACAATTAACATATATGCTTCATGACAATAAGAGACCATTACTGGGAAAAGGAAAATTCCTTATTCTACTTTAGATTCAATAGTTGTTTGAAACGATATTTGTTTTCAAAACCAGTGTAACTTAGTGTAAATTCATGTGAAGCATTGCGAGTGATTTTAAGTACATACTCACTATGATTTAAACATAACGTAGGACGTATGATGTGGCTGAAACACAAATCTAAGTCCTGGTGAATATGTATGGAACAGCCAATTCACAACACTCAAGTGTTTGGTTGGGGGTTTATGTCCTCCTAACAGCTATGAGGTCTTGTGAAGAGAGTGCCCAGATATAATGGGGCCACTTGAAGGCCATATGGAACAGAAGTAACCTACTGTACATATCATTCTTAAAGATAGTGTAATTATAATTTTCCCAGATAATATTTTTTAAAGCATATTTATTTGACTCTTTATTACATTCTGAGTGTTCAAGCCCTGTGCTAAGATAATGCGAAAATTTAGTTCCTTCACATGTTTAGATTACGAAATTATAATCCATGTAAATTTCATCTCTAATTTTTGGTAAAAATCGCAAAAAAATATGCCAGTTTAATATCCCATTAAAGTAATACAATTTCATGGGTATTGCGACCTGATTCTGATTATCCAACTAATCTCCCTCTTAATACAGTTTTGTACGTTGCTGGCTGTCCAGAAGACCATACCTACCTGAAACCCATTGAGATCCACACACAGTCTGTTGTCAGGGTCTACTACTGCTGTGTCCAATCGTAGTACCAGCTCAGTGTTGTTCCATTGACCACTACTCATGTCCACCACATTGTCCACATACACACCAGCTGACCGCATGAAAATTGGAATGTCAAGGTTATGAAGAGAAATCGTTGGCAAGAAGAGGCTCAGAGGGCCTGTATTGCTCACCTGAGTATTTTAACATTTTATCATGTTATCACCAACAGTAGTATTACAAATATTTCCCCATTTTAAGCTCGGCTTCTTAGTGCTATGGTGGACAACACTTTTGTTTTCAATATTTGATCTCCTGATCCCAAGGATGTTTTATAGCACACCCACAATTTATATAACATTGAGCACCCTTGGCCCAGCAGTGTTCCAGACCTCAGCCATTTTGGGCTAGTAGCTTTTATAAAGAAATGTTGGTGGACATATGGTAAACAGACAACTGATGACAGATGATATGCATGGCATAAGCTCACAAGGCCCTTTTGGCAAAATGAGCTAAAAATAGTAAGGTCAATAATAGTCAAAACACAGGGTCACAATCAGAGACTGGTAATGACTGTCCCAATTTTGTCTTTCCTTCAGGTTTTAATATCTTTTCTTTAAATTGATCAACAAATTTTAAAGCAAACATTACTTCACTACTTCAGTCTAACATGATTTTTATGAAACTTTTCTACAATCTTTTGCTGGTTAGAGACTGACCAGATTTGTTGTGAAGCGTTGTGGTGTGAACAATGTCAGATTGGACAGCTATGACCTTGGACATGACAGGACCTTCCACTACGTAAACTTTTACACCGTCGTCAAGGAGTGGCTGAGGAATCGGGCAAGAAAAATAAAACAATCACAAGATTTAGAAATTACATTATCATAAGACATGAAGATAACATTAATCCAAGAGTACAATATGACAGGAAATCATTAGACCTCGTGACATACCAGTTCCGTACTGCACACAATGTCAATGAACTGAATTAAAATTTTGTGATTACATCAAATTTAATTTCTTTATTAATTGTAGGAGAAAATTCAGTATTACATAGAGTTTTTTTTCTTGTGCAGAGACAAAGGGCTGCTTCTTTCCCACTCTCCCCTCTGGCAGAAACTGTGTTTATCCCTCATTCATATTGAGCTCAAGATCAGAACATCATTTATCTGTTTGGTATGTGACCTGGAAGAGGAGGAAACCCATGGCTGGCCTCCTATTCCACCACTAAACATGTGGCCTTCCATAGTAGGAACGTTATCAGATCTAGAGGCAGCTCTTCTGCAAACACTCTATTAACATGACTACTAAAATGTTACATAGCTTTCTATGTTGCTAAGAGACTGTAAAGCCTATGGATGTCCAACAAGATAAGCATTGCTCACCTTTGCCGCCCCGTCGGGTTGAAAGGTGTAGGCTCCACTTTTATCTTTGAAGATGTTGTACTTAGATCCTGTTCCATAGGTCATGAATTTGACCTCTGACTTTAGCGTTTGCCCATCAGATTTTCTTGTGGTATACTGAAAAATCAATGACATGAATTTACGTGGTAAACTAACACAAACTAAGAACATGTTTGAAAAGAAAAGAAAACAGTATGATATGTATAAATGTATACATAGAATTTAAAGGACCATGCAAGATATGCTTGTGCAATATTTCTTACATTCATGAGGTGGTGACACAGTGGTGTCAGTTGCCAATAGTATTGCACTTGTCAACATTTTAAAAATACAAAAGTCACCAATTCTAAATCTGGTAGTATGTGTAACTAAAGCTTCAAGCTCAGCAATTCTTTATATTGCTAAAGGGTGGAGATCTCAAACATTTCATGTGGCTTGTGGTTGTCTCCTGTATATATGGTTATGTGGTGGGGATCTGTTTCAAGGTCATTACCCACTAGAAACTTAAGTCTCCAGGAGTGGAGTTCATGACCAGCACATGTCTGGTTGTAGAGTGAGAACCAATGTTTTCATGTGATGTACCACAGACTGGGTTCCTCGGGTTGGGGCCACACCCACGGGTCAATTTGGGTTTGTCACATTTTCCCAAACTTTTGTAGATCTGGTTATATTATGGGGTTGTGATTGAAACTTTTCCAAAGATATGACTATAAGTCACCTGGGGTAGGGCATGACCACAAGGCCAATTTAAACTTGGTATCAGAGGTTCATTCATCTCTTTATAGGGTAGGAATCTCAATGTTATGACCCAGGGACAAAGTATCCAAGGACTGAGCGACCCAAGAGGCTTATCCTGGTAGCATATTTATATATTTGTCTTTTCGTGGAATTGCATATACAATATTAATGTATAGGGTTTGGATCTTAGCTGTTATAGGCTCTTTCTTTGCCTTCCTACTCAATCCCTGAGGATCAAGACCTTCCATTTGTACATTTTAAAATCCTCGCAACATGAGGATGTTCCCTACCAAATATGGTTGATGTCCATCACATAGTTCCAGAGGAGAAAACACTTAATGCATTATGACCAAATTACTCCATTTGGCTCTGCCCTTCAGTCTTCCCCTTGCCTTTCCAGGAGGACAGTCCCTCTAGTTATACAATTCTGTATCTCTAACACCTATGCAAGATTCCTGCATATTGGATGTAATCCGTTCATCAGTGAATAAGTTGTTGAAAGAAATTTTGATAGACAGACACAAGAAAGGATCAAGTGTGCTTACAATTGATATACATATTGTAAACATTTGTTGAAAAGCAACATTTGTAACAGTTGTTATCATAAATGAAGCTTTCAAAATTGATATAAAAACATACATACCTGCAGTTTTCCTGTACATGTAGCAAATGAAGCTAACAGGTATGAATTCTCTATGGTAAATAACGCATCCTTTATTGCTGATAAGGTAAAGCCTGGATCATCCATGTTTCTGTATAAACAATTAAATGACAATAGCTATACTGTGACAGGTTCAATGACAACTAAACCATCATGAGGGAAAGCAATATATATGTCTGGTTCACCATAAACAGACTGACAGTAATCATCAAGCTGGGAAAAGAAAGATATGTTTACATATATCTGGTGCTAATTTTCTTTATAAAAATAAATAAGAATGGCCAAAACCTGCTGATACACACACTCAAGAGTTTGTGTGACTGAGAGCAGTGTACATATATGTAGCCTTAATATATGTGATCTGATATAGACAGAGTTTAACATACCTTTAACCTTGAGATATGTGACCTTGACCTTGACATTGAGAGCAGTGTAAATACCTGTAACCTTGATATATGTGACCTTGATATAGACAGAGTTTAACATACTTTTAACCCTGATATATGTGACCTTGACTTTGCCATTGAGAGCATTGTAAATACCTGTAACCTTGATATATGTGACCTTGATATAGACAGGGGTTAACATACCTATAACCTTGATATATGTGACCTTGACCTTGTAATTGAGAGCATTGTAAATACCTGTAACCTTGATATATGTGACCTTGATATAGACAGGAGTTAACATACCTATAACCTTGAGATATGCGACCTTGACATTGGCAGTAGGGTTAAACTCAAATAAGGCACACTAAGAGCAGTGTAAATAGGTATTTGTATGTGTACATACCTGAAATCTGGCAATTGTGACACTGGGACTGACAGTGAAGCCATTGTTGGGAAGTGATCAGTAGCACTGGTCAAGGCATAAGTTCTTACAGACAGGGGAGGTAAGTCTACCTCAAATACTAACTGCAACAAAAGGATCATAGCTAAATACAACCTGTTTAATATCATAATTTCAACGCAATAAAATTACATCAAAAAGTAAAATTTATTGTTATAAAAATAATGTGTTACTTCATCAAATAATATAAATTGTAAGTCTAAATTAAGGACCTTGATCAATAAGATTTATTCCAAAGGCCTAATGTGCGAATGTGGTCTGATAACTGTTATGGAACTGAAGCAAAGTTATAACTTTTTAAATAACAAATTATTTCCAGATTTCTGAAAAATCAATATTCAACAAACAGCTAGGGAAGCCTGATGATTTAATTATGTCAATGTTTTCCTGTACTGTATAACTCAAGTTACAATATTGCTGGATTCTAATTTTCATATCTGAAATGTTTCCAATGCTCTACCTCATAAACGTCCATTTGCAGCACCCCGTTGTTACTCCACACAGGGTTAATCTGACAGGACATGTAGTGACCTGTGGTCCGGTCCTTCACCTTGACCTTTGACTCTGTGACGTGTAATACCACTATGCCTTGTCTCCTGTGTGGTAGACTGTTATACACTACAACATGGCCCGTGTCCCAAGCTCCATCCATTACAACAGTTCTCTTTGTCAGTAGCTTGCCATATGCAGTCCATTCATTATTCTGAATTTAAAGATAAAAATGGTTACATTACAAAATACTATGAAGTTAAAATGTTCAATATCTAAAAACATTCATTTGGGGTAAATACTGTAACTGTAAGTATGAATATTCAAATGTAATCTGAAGTTTTGAACCTTTATTAATTATTTTTGAAATTTAAAAGAGTTCATGTTGTTTTATGTTTTTGTTCTATGAGAGTTTTATTCAAAAGATATTTTTTATCTTGAATTACACAATCTTGTCATTATACGTTGGCTTACATCCATGAAATTCAGATACAATAGAAAATTGCTAATGATAAGATTTTTATAGTGCAATGCATCACAGCTGACTATAAACAGGTTTTGCTGTTTGCATGACAGTCTTAACTCCTTTACATTTCAGCATCTATGGCTATATTTTTTAACAAATGTACCTCCTGGTAAGGAAAGAACTTCTTTATCACTACAATTACTTACTATGGAGGATTTCTCTCTATAGGAGATGTTTATTTATATCTTTCAAACCGATTTACCGGTAGGTGGGCATTGCTTGACCATTGTTACATAGGCTCTAAAATAGACAATAACCTTCACCCTCATTACTGTTACAAAGGCTCCAATAACAGACATCAACCTTCACCCCTCATTACTGTTACATAGGCTCCAAAAACAGACATCAACCTTCACCCCTCATCACTGTTACATAGGCTCCAAAAACAGACATCAACCTTCACCCTCATTACTGTTACATAGGCTCCAAAAACAGACATCAACCTTCACCCCTCATTACTGTTACATAGGCTCCAAAAACAGACACCAACCTTCACCCCTCAACACTGTTACATAGGCTCCAAAAACAGACATCAACCTTCACCACTCAACACTGTTACATAGGCTCCAAAAACAGACACCAACCTTCACCCCTCAACACTGTTACATAGGCTCCAAAAACAGACATCAACCTTCACCCCTCATTACTGTTACAAAGGCTCCAAAACCAGACATCAACCTTCACCCTCATTACTGTTACATAGGCTCCAAAAACAGACATCAACCTTCCCCCTCATTACTGTTACATAGGCTCCAAAAACAGACATCAACCTTCACCCCTCATTACTGTTACATAGGCTCCAAAACAGTCATCAACCTTCACCCCTCATAACTGTTACATAGGCTCCAAAAACAGACATCAACCTTCACCCACATTACTGTTACAAAGGCTCCAAAAATACACATCAAACTTCACCCCTCATCACTGTTACATAGGCTCCAAAAACAGACATCAACCTTCCCCCTCATTACTGTTACATAGGCTCCAAAAACAGACATCAACCTTCCCCCTCATTACTGTTACATAGGCTCCAAAAACAGACATCAACCTGCACCCCTCAACACTGTTACATAGGCTCCAAAAACAGACATCAACCTTCCCCCCTCATTACTGTTACATAGGCTCCAAAAAACACATCAACCTTCACCCCTCATCACTGTTACATAGGCTCCAAAAACAGACATCAACCTTCACCCCTCATCACTGTTACATAGGCTCCAAAATTAGACATCAACCTTCACCCCTCATCACTGTAACATAGGCTCCAAAAAACACATCAACCTTCACCCCTCATCACTGTAACATAGGCTCCAAAAAACACATCAACCTCCACCCCTCATCACTGTTACATTGGCTTCAAAAAACACATCAACCTTCCCCCCTCATCACTGTTACATAGGCTCCAAAATTAGACATCAACCTTCACCCCTCATCACTGTTACATAGGCTCCAAAATAGACATCAACCTTAACCCCTCATCACTGTTACATAGGCTCCAAAAATAGACATCAACCTTCCCCCTTCATTACTGTTACATAGGCTCCAAAAACAGACATCAACCTTCCCCCCTCATTACTGTTACATAGGCTCCAAAAACAGACATCACCCTTCACCCCTCATTACTGTTACATAGGCTCCAAAGACAGACATCAACCTTCACCCTCATTACTGTTACAAAGGCTCCAACAACAGACATCAACCTTCACCCCTCATCACTGTTACATAGGCTTCAAAAATAGACATCAACCTTCACCCCTCATCACTGTTACATAGGCTCCAAAAATAGACATCAACCTTCACCCCTCATTACTGTTACATAGGCTCCAAAGACAGACATTAATCTTCACCCCTCATCACTGTTACATAGGCTCCAAAACAGACATCAACCTTCACCCCTCATCACTGTTACATAGGCTCCAAAAACAGACATCAACCTTCACCCCTCATCACTGTTACATGTTTTTTTAGTGTCAGCATGGTTCAATATTTTATTCAACTTAAGTAAGGCATAAACGGTGATCTGTCCTTGACAAACAGTCTACATAGTGAAATTTGTATAAGGTAATACCCTTGAGCATATGCACCGGCAATATTAGCTAGGTCATAGCCATGGTTTTCACATGCTTACCCACTACCAGTTGAACACAGGACTAGATTTCTAGTCAAGTGCTCTGGAGGGAAATTCCTTCTAGTGACTGGGTGATATGCTTGTAGTGGGGTATCTGAGACATACATACCAGTTGTACTTTTACTTGTTCGATGTTCACCTTGGCACTGAGCTCCTTGGCTAACAGTGAGCACAATATACTAGACAGGCCAACAAAGGCATTCTGCAGTCTGTAGGTAATAGCAAATCAGAACACAATGAGAATTATATCATAGTAGGGCATATTGACTTGTTATAAGGCACTGTACAATTAAATTTAGTTTATATAAATTCAGACTTGCCATATACATTGTAAATAGAAATAATTCTGGAAGTTTCTATTTCTCACTTTATTTGTATGGTGATTAATCACAAATCTAATATATTTTATAAGAAAAGAAAAAGGAAAAAAATAACAAGATGAAAATGGATTTTAATCTAATAATAATTTTTCATCATTTACACAAAAAAAGGCAAAGAATTGCAAACTAACCTTAGTCGTCCACCCCTGGACAAACTTTGGTATCAAAAATGATCAGAGGGTCATAATTCTGTACACAATAGTGCACCAGACAGAATTTTATAGCGTGACACTGTGCCATCCAAATAGGTATGCTCATATAAAATCTCATAATTGTATCTGACAGATTATGAGTAATCTCGCGGAGAATGTGATTAACAGTAACAAAGGGCCATCACTCTGTATCTGGTAGGGTCCCAGACCCCGTTTCATTATGCAACACTATACCATTCAAAGAGGCACTCATTGGCAAAATCTGGTACTGTAGATGGGAGGATGTGATGCATCGAAGATAAAGGGATTCACATGAACCGAGGACCAGATTATAGTATGTGACATTTCCTCCATTCCTAGTGATACAAAATGGCAATTACAGGTACCAGAGTATACGAGATATGCTCAGGACAACGTGATGGACAGAGTAGGTACCTATAGCACCCTCTGATAGTTCTACAAATGTACTAGTACTGGTGGGGTACTTACAAACATGATATATACAGGATGTCACATGTCCCTCGAAACATGTCCTGTCACATGGACATATGGAAATCTAAATGCTTAATTCAGCGTGAATATTACATGACCTATCTATGATACCTAAAACATAAAATTGACCAAAATCTCATATTTTTAAAGCATGAATATACAGGAGATTTCCTACTTTCATGACTAGAAGTTAGTTCTTTGTGCCACAGGAGTTACCATTACAACTGTGACCTCACCTGTCCCCGTAATCCCTGACAACCTTTCTCTTGGCCGTCCCAGTGATGGCATCGTGGTGTTGAAACAAAGCCAGTGTCTGTCTGTAGGTCTGCAGCTTGGCAGCATCTTTCAGTATTTCCATTATGCGTTCTATGGTGCTTCTATGTATTGCCTGAGCAAGACACAGGGAGAAGAGAATTTCCACGGACCTGTCAACACCAGACAGAAAGGTTTGTATAAAACAATTGAGCAGTATCCTGATCTTCTGTGACACAAAGTTACACTGTACCAAGGTCACTTACTTACTCTTGTAGAACACGGTCTCTCAAAAGATTAACAGTGAAGTCTTTAGTATCCTGCCGATTTTCTTCAGTTTGTTGTTCATATTTTTTTTACTTACATGCATATAACTATTTAGGTACAGTGAAACCTCATCAAACTTTCATCATTTAAGTGGCCAAATTTTGATGTTATAAAATGGGACTGGCAGCATATTAAGGGAGATAATAGTATATAGGAATTATTATCTAAAAAGGAAAGGAGGACTTAAATGGAAAAATAAATGTTTGCAGTATGCTAAGGTAGCTAATGGAGCATCAAGAGATAGTATACTGAGGTTTCGATTTATTAAAATTACATTCTTGATGATTGTTCTGTACATGAATATACCAACTGAAAACAACTGCCATTAGACTATGAAACACTATGAATACAACGATTTTGTGCAACCGGTCAGCTGATTTCACACACAATGACCACTTCATATTACTATGCATAGTACCGTTTCTAAGAATAGTTATCTCCCCTTCTTGCGAGAAATAATAATAAACATTACAAAAATCATGAATGGCGCACCATTGTACTATCATTATTTCTAATTTAAAACTAAAAAAACCATTGTCATATTAAATATTGACTTCCGACTCGCAATCGGTTCCTCGTGGTCATGAACTTTCTAACACCCAAACGTCCGGCTGGGTAATCCCCATGACATCAACTTGTAAATTAAACTCAGTGTACTTTGTAATGACACTTCATCCACCAACTTATCATCATTTACATCATTCAACTTCAAATGAGCTATATGCCTACTGCCGACGGGTGCTCGGCCAACGGGTGCCAAGGATGGTTACTATGGTGACCAATGATTTGAAATAGTGTGGACATAAACTTTTCAAAATATATAATATGCATTGTTTAATGCAAAAAAACCATCAACTAAGATCATCTTTCAAAATGAAAGAAATATTAAGTGTTGGTTATTATTAGATACCAGATATATATTTTCGTTTCAATAAAATCAGCTGATCTGCAGAAGTTGAACATTTGAAGTTTTGTGTAGGCTGTTCCTTTTTTTATGGTTTTCTGACCGATACTATTATTAAAAATATTAAATCTACAAAAAGTGTTGTAACTTTTTTTTATTGTAGTTCATCGTAACTTGAATATATGAATTGAATGGATTTTTTTTCATGTACATTGCGGCAATGAATAGCAGTAGCGGATCTACATATCTTCTGAGGAGCGATAACGCGCTCCACAGGATATGTAGATCAGCTACTGCTATTCATTGCCGCAATGTACATGAAAAAAATTCCATTCAATTCCTATGTATTTACATATTATTTTCATAATCATGGGATTGGGCCTGGTTTCATGTTTGCTTTTTGTGGGCATTTATGATGACTCACTCGCAGTGTTTCATTATCAATGGGCCTGTTTTCATTATTTGTTTTGGTGGGTGTTTAATGTTTATGATGTTTCATAATCATTTGTTGTTTATAATCTATTTCCTTTGTTTTGGTGGCTTCCTGGTTCCTCTTGTTATTTTTAAGTCGGTGTATAAACAATATGGTTCTTCAGTTTTCTATTTTACTGTATGTGACAAGACAAATACATTTAAACAGCTAATTATAATACAAGATAGTACAACAAACAAAACTTAAAATGTATTTCTAATACCTCAAATACTTTTTCAAGGAGTCCTTTTCAATGTGACCCTCTCAATTTCTGGGAAAGCATAATGTGGCTTCTAAAATTGCTAAAATGAAATTGAAAGTCCTGTATCGGTGACACTTCCACAACGAACCAATTCATTTCCAACTGGCAGTGTAAGGTTCACATGACTACACATTTGTACAATAGTGCCAGTGTTACTACCTGAGAATGGCCTGGATTTTGCGGGCCATGTGTTTGAGGTGTGGCCTGGACGTGTAGTAGCCACTCCAGTACTGGTCAGCACGGTCAGTATAGGTGAAGAAGTCTCCAGCCAGTGTCGGGATCTGTAGTGCTTCAGTGGCTGTGGATTTCTTGGCCAATGCAGTAAAATAATCACTCAGTGTTCCAAATCTTATCTGGAAAATAAGAAGGAAACATTACTGTGACTTTAAATTAAAGGGGCAGAAGAAAATTTAATATGATTGGAAATAAAGAGGCAGAGAGAGTTATGTATGTTCCATCTTTAACCCAGTACCCTGCTTACAGGGCGATGTCTGTGAAAATGAGCAGACTTAAATAAAAAAAAAAATTAAAATAAACCAAGACGCTGATTTGACTGTTGCCATATGAAATTTTAACCGTGAAATATTCAGTATTCCTCATAGACCATGAGCAGACATCATCAGTCGGTAGAATGAATATCTCTAATTTTGAAATGATGATTAAGGGTATTTTGAGGGCATATTCCACCATAATGTTGTTTCCACAATGTCATATATATATACATCTAACTACGTACATTTGTATTTTTCATATCTTAAGGTAAATACAACAATATTCTTTGATTTCCAATTTTATTTTGTTTCATTTCTTCATCATCATCACCTATCTGATGGTTGAGAAAACTGGCCCACCTTTAGTTTATGGAGGATATGCTTATAACTTTAAACCCAGGGAAGCCCACAACAAGATGCTCATCATTCTCATTGTACACTGTTGCATTCCATGCTGTGCTTGGTTGGTGTACACATGTTACCTTTGTGTTCATGCGTGGGTTTGTGTTGATGAAATTCATGAGCTTGGTGAGGTTACCCAACTGCCTATCCCATTCTGTAGAGTATCTGTAGTGGAAGTCATCCCCATGTGGTACCAGTAGAACCCCATGCTGGTATAACTCAGCCTTCTTCTGAAACTGTTCCCACAGTTCCTCAGCCCTTAAAAACACGTGACATATCTCTTACAGTGACAATTTATCACACCAAATCTCTTACATGGAGACAAATGTGAAATTCTCTTACACATTCATAAGGAAAATCTCTTACATAAGGCGAAACATAATAAAAAGATATATTTTTTTTTAACCATGGGGGAATGCAATACAGGAATTCTTGTACACAGAGACAAATGCAACACATGTTACACATCAATTTCTATAATGGGGAGTGCTATGAGGAACAATTTAATCATCTTGTTACAATTCACCCCATGTTATTGATAAATCTCAATACATAAGTGGTGTAAAATCTCACATCCATGTATAAATGTACATCTACTTCTTGATAAACAACATCTGCATGCTATATTGAAACCCCTACTTACAGATAAGCCACGTTGCTGTCGTCAACACGGATGGGTGGCACCTTTTCTTGTCCATAGTAACACTTGCTGTTGATAAAATCCAACTTGCAGCAGACTTGAGGATCAGGGCCACAGGAGAACGGTATAGCATAGGACAGGAAGGGCATCATGTGACACAGACTAGCTGTGGTGTGGGCCCGGTCTACAACAGGAGAACAGTATAGCATAGGACAGGAAAGGCATCATGTGACACAGACAAGCTGTGGTGTGGGCCCGGTCTACAGGGAACATAAACAACATATTAGGTAAAATATGGCTACTTTTATCCTGCTTGGTTTTGCTGCAGAATTAGACAATTTCATACATAAGGCTATGTCAGTTTAATTATACTGGTATTCACATCTTCTATCGGACATTGTGTGAGCTCACCTGATCCAGAGCCATAATAGAGAAGTTATCATAGGTATGGACATTATAAATTTATAAGAGGTTTGATAATGTATCAAGGGAGACTTATATTATATATTATAAGGAATTGTTACGAAAAAAGAAAAGAAAACAGACCTTCAAAATAATTTGTTTTCTGACAAATGAAAAGAAGGGCATTATATTGAGGTTTTACTGCAGTTTGAGAGTATATTTTGATGATATAACATGATCAATATATATCATATCACATTTAATGCATTTAAAATTTATTAAATTGAGTTAATTAAAATCAGATAAAGACGGCCTTCCCTAGCTACCACTACCATTGCAGTTATCAGCATGATTTATTAGTTCCTTCACAATTTATCATGAAAACTGTATGAATTGTATTTACAGACAATTATGATCACCCTAGTATGGTAATATCACAACAATTTTGATGTCATTATCAAAACCTTGCATAGCGCTGTCTGTTGGCTGGGTTATTTATTGAAATGCTACTTCTTTGAATCTGGAGCTCTACTAACTTTTTTGCTCCTAAGTCATCCTCAATACTCCGTGGGTAACACTCACCTCCAGTCTCTGTACCCTTGGAATATGTCATAGCAAATTTAAAGTGAGAGAAAGTGAGTGTGACCCCTGGAGATCAGAGAGAGAAAGTGAGTGTGACCCCTTGAGTTCAGAGAGAGAAAGTGAGTGTGACCCCAGGAGATCAGAGAGAGAAAGTGAGTGTGACCCCTTGAGTTCAGAGAGAGAAAGTGAGTGTGACCCCAGGAGATCAGAGAGAGAAAGTGAGTGTGACCCCTTGAGTTCAGAGAGAGAAAGTGAGTGTGACCCCTGGAGTTCAGAGAGAGAAAGTGAGTGTGACCCCTTGAGTTCAGAGAGAGAAAGTGAGTGTGACCCCTAGAGTGACTGCATGGCAATTATTAATAACTGTCAATACTAGTTACAGTTTTAATACAGTAAGTACATAAATACCCCAAGCTTGTGTCCAGTAGAACTCCAGGTTCCTTCCTGATGCCAAATGTTGTTTGACAGCATAGCTGACTCTCTGGATTACCATTTTCTGGAGATTGGACCTTTGTAGCAAGTAGGTCATTGTCGCAGAATGTCCAAACGGATCGACAGCCCAGCTGACATTAGGTGTAATACCTACATTGTAGCGCAGATATATTCATAAAGACAGAAATCTATACCCCAGGACACTACATTTTTTTTTGTGTAATTAATTCTTAACATGGAAAACAAAATATTAATTCAATTGACTTAAAATAAATTACAAATTGTATTCATACTCAACCGACTCCATTTTGTTTCTTTAAATTACAAAACTACATTGTCATTTTCATCAGCTCTTAAAGGAAAATTACTGGATATAGAAAATATGACACCTAGAAATAAATCATTGTGATCAAGTACAGTTGTATCATTCTATACTAGATACTTAATTATCAGTAACTTATGAGGATAGTTTACATTATAGGAATGTTTACAACTGTTTATAACAATTTTACAACAATCCGGGCATTACAACTAAATGTATAACTAAGATAATGGCAGTTATTTTGGTTAGTTTATATAGTGTATCTACACAGCAAAGTAAATTTACAGTACCCTGCTGTGTAACATATATACAAAAATAAATAGTTAACATACCTGACCCTAGTTAGAATATCCTCTACCAAAGCTAATATCCCTTAGTTAAATACAACTAAGATATTGATACATTTCCCTACACACACAAGCAAAGCTTATTTGCATCAATGATATATAGGTGAAATGTTGATCATTTAGAGGCAAAAAATCAAGCAGTCAGGCATATGATAGATAAAAGGGATACAGCAGACCTCGTTCTACAGAACTGTCTAATACCTAGATCTACAGAACTGTCTAATACCTAGCTCTACAGAACTGTCTAATACCTAGCTCTACAGAACTGTCTAATACCTAGTTCTACAGAACTGTCTAATACCTAGATCTACAGAACTGTCTAATACCTAGATCTACAGAACTGTCTAATACCTAGTTCTACAGAACTGTCTAATACCTAGATCTACAGAACTGTCTAATACCTAGCTCTACAGAACTGTCTAATACCTAGATCTACAGAACTGTCTAATACCTAGATCTACAGAACTGTCTAATACCTAGATCTACAGAACTGTCTACTACCTAGCTCTACAGAACTGTCTAATACCTAGATCTACAGAACTGTCTAATACCTAGATCTACAGAACTGTCTAATACCTAGATCTACAGAACTGTCTAATACCTAGCTCTACAGAACTGTCTAATACCTAGATCTACAGAACTGTCTAATACCTAGATCTACAGAACTGTCTAATACCTAGCTCTACAGAACTGTCTAATACCTAGATCTACAGAACTGTCTAATACCTAGATCTACAGAACTGTCTAATACCTAGCTCTACAGAACTGTCTAATACCTAGATCTACAGAACTGTCTAATACCTAGATCTACAGAACTGTCTAATACCTAGCTCTACAGAACTGTCTAATACCTAGATCTACAGAACTGTCTAATACCTAGATCTACAGAACTGTCTAATACCTAGCTCTACAGAACTGTCTAATACCTAGATCTACAGAACTGTCTAATACCTAGATCTACAGAACTGTCTAATACCTAGCTCTACAGAACTGTCTAATACCTAGATCTACAGAACTGTCTAATACCTAGATCTACAGAACTGTCTAATACCTAGCTCTACAGAACTGTCTAATACCTAGATCTACAGAACTGTCTAATACCTAGATCTACAGAACTGTCTAATACCTAGCTCTACAGAACTGTCTAATACCTAGATCTACAGAACTGTCTAATACCTAGATCTACAGAACTGTCTAATACCTAGCTCTACAGAACTGTCTAATACCTAGATCTACAGAACTGTCTAATACCTAGATCTACAGAACTGTCTAATACCTAGCTCTACAGAACTGTCTAATACCTAGATCTACAGAACTGTCTAATACCTAGATCTACAGAACTGTCTAATACCTAGCTCTACAGAACTGTCTAATACCTAGCTCTACAGAACTGTCTAATACCTAGATCTACAGAACTGTCTAATACCTAGATCTACAGAACTGTCTAATACCTAGCTCTACAGAACTGTCTAATACCTAGCTCTACAGAACTGTCTAATACCTAGATCTACAGAACTGTCTAATACCTAGATCTACAGAACTGTCTAATACCTAGATCTACAGAACTGTCTAATACCTAGATCTACAGAACTGTCTAATACCTAGATCTACAGAACTGTCTAATACCTAGCTCTACAGAACTGTCTAATACCTAGATCTACAGAACTGTCTAATACCTAGATCTACAGAACTGTCTAATACCTAGATCTACAGAACTGTCTAATACCTAGATCTACAGAACTGTCTAATACCTAGATCTACAGAACTGTCTAATACCTAGATCTACAGAACTGTCTAATACCTAGATCTACAGAACTGTCTAATACCTAGATCTACAGAACTGTCTAATACCTAGATCTACAGAACTGTCTAATACCTAGATCTACAGAACTGTCTAATACCTAGATCTACAGAACTGTCTAATACCTAGATCTACAGAACTGTCTAATACCTAGATCTACAGAACTGTCTAATACCTAGATCTACAGAACTGTCTAATACCTAGATCTACAGAACTGTCTAATACCTAGATCTACAGAACTGTCTAATACCTAGATCTACAGAACTGTCTAATACCTAGATCTACAGAACTGTCTAATACCTAGCTCTACAGAACTGTATAATACCTAGCTCTACAGAACTGTCTAATACCTATAACTCTACAGAACTTACTGGGTACTTGTCCTTCTCTACTCGTAACACAAACTGAACTGTTCGTAAGAAATATAGTCAGTGATAACTTTGTGAAACAACATCACTTGTTGTAGTAATTGGTATCCTTTTATGAACGATCTACTTTCACCTCTAATATACCTGATTCTCATGTTGATTTCTGATTTCACTTCTTCGAGGAACCCATTTCAGTCTGATTAAAGCAATTGATCAGCAAGGAAATAGATTGCTAAAGTGCACATTATCATTGTATAGGTCTTACATAAAAAAATAAAAAAGGAATTTGGCAACAGGCAAAGCCTATAAAAGCCCTGTCTAAAATATATACAGTAAACATACATGTATTGATAGTAGAAATATACAGCCCTGTATAAAATATATAAGTATTAATATGAAACTATATTAGTTATCATTGAATCACCAATGGTTGTAAGTAATATAACATCGTTGCATGACAAATAACGGCCGGTCAGTCAGACAGGACCTGGAGACCAGCGCAGACAAACTGTCTATAACTGACACCATTCTGAGCTGGAATCCAAGGTCAAGCCGACCAACACCCGCATTAACAATTAAACATAATAGAAAATAAGAAAAAGTTATTTTAAAATGTCTAGGATTCAAAATGAATCTCTGAATTGTCTCCAAAATAGATACATTCAAATCAAAAGCAAGTCTTTGGCAGCCCTATAGAAAGGTTTCAATATTCAATGGAATACTATCACTCGGATCAGATATGGAGTTAATCAGGAATAGTTTGAAGACATTATATATATATAGGAGGAAGAAGTCATCACACTGTTCGATTCAATTCAGTGGGATAACCTCACATATACAGACAGGGCTATCGTTAAAGTGGAAATTCAATTGATTCAAGTTCAAATTACTTGCATGATTTCTTAATTATCTTTTCTGACACCATAATATGTAAAAACAATTGTTTATTGGGATTGATCATGAGCATCTGTATCAGGTGAGTATAAAATAGTTCTTTTTAGGGCTCTAATTGATGTCAATGTGGGAAGCAGATCAGCTGGATTAAATTGTTCTTATCTGACATCAGGATTTTTTTTTTATCATAAAGTTGGATTCTTGCTATTAGCACATCGAATAGTCTTTTGTGACGAAAAAGATATTTTTTAGTGTTATTATTGGAAATACCTGGATTGATTCATACACACATGTGGGATATCTCTTATAAAAAGTTGTAAACATGGGCCTTATAGGTCACCGGAGTTCTGGGAGGTTGAGTGAGGAACAACGAGCTTTCATGGTTAATGTAATACTGTGTTAATTTCATTTATTTTTTATGTATGTTTGATAGTAATTTGAACATTATACAGTATTACAATAGTGCCTGCAGCCATATAAGGACCAAGTGTGTGTTTCATACCTTGGTTCACTCATTAAGAGACCACAATGAGAAGACACACAATACATATTTACTGTGAATTTCACATGACAATATTGTAATATAGTATATTTCACTAACATGCTAAGCTACATCATAAGACAACACACTTATGATGTTGGGTACATTATAAAGCAATGCTGTCGCTGGGTGACTAGAATAGGACTTGGAACTTTATATAGAGGATTATAAACCCATCCATCGCATTTTGACAATTACCCCATCCCTAGCTTGTAGATAACTACTGGAAATAATCTCAAAATCTCTCACCTGTCTTGATTCACAATTTTGAAATAACGACCACATCGCTCAATCTAGCATTTTTTCCGTGACCTAACAGTTGATCATGATGAACCAACACAATCATTTTAAGCAGCTGATTAAAGTTTCAAAACACTGTTATCTGGTTTACGGTACATTCCCACCTGCCACTTACCAGCATATATTTGAAAAGCAATTACGAACTTATATTACACTACAAAAAATAACAAAATAAAATCAGTGATTGTTTAAGCACAAGCTAAATTCTGACTAAAATATAATTAACTTGTTATATGTACTACTTTAATACATACATGTCAGCAGCTAAATAAAACACGTAGGTAAAATAGATTTCGTTACTTATCCATGGCCCAAGATGCAGAGAAAGATTCTGTTTATAATTAACATTTTATTCATAAAAATGAAGTCCTATACAGACACGCCAGACTTACGGCTACTTTCTTCAATGTATTACAATAGCAAAACCTCTCCTGCACATTTTGCAAGGTGAGCTAATACTAAGCAGTCTGTGTTCTTCCACATTTCTCTAAACCAGCAATAATGTTCAAAGTGGTATGACCTCACAACTCCACCATCATTCCAACAGGTATGATCTCCCGACTCCCAACAGTCATTC